TATTTTGGAAAATTCGATTTTGCTGTTTAAGGTCATTGATCGGCATAATTTTCAAAATGTTGGCAAAAATATTTTAATCAAAAAATAGGCAAGAAGATTCGATCGATGATGCGGGCCATTAGCATCAAGATAGAATTGCGCATTATCGCTTTGAGTCATTGCACAATACATATGTATGTAGGTCAAATGATCATCATATTTGAACCAAAAATTTTAAGAATAGCGTAAAGGAGACTAACAGCCCTATTCCCACGCCTATGACAAAACTCAACGGCTGACTATGGTCTTTACTATTGCGCCTAACACTATGCCGCAAATTTATTTTAAGCTCTCTAATGGTAACAATTGTCATTGCTATTGTTATGACCTACTGAGTACGCGACAACGGCGAAACAATGTTTAGACTTGTCCTCATTTTCGTTGTTGGTGATTCCGACAGGGTCAAATTTGGTTTGGGGACAAACCGGTTTCGGCGTGGTGCCGTATTCAGTGTCATTTTTCGTTCTCTTTGTGTTTTAGGCGCAGTAATTGTGACAATAGTCATACGATAAATGTTGTCAATGTTGTGGCTATAGGGCTGTAACTCTCGTAAAACAATTTTATTAACCCTTTCACAGTTTCATTTTTTTTCACAGTTTTCACTTTCACAGTTTCACAGTTTCATTGTTGTATTTGCTAAGAGAATTCTACAACGCAAATAGTATAACCCTCTACAACTTTCCTTTGCATAATTTTAGGCATATGCACTGCAGTGTATGAATAAAAAGTAAGGTGGAAATTTAAAAGAATTCTGAAATTATTTTCACTTGATGTGTAAGCCTTCACGTGTAAACCCAGACGATACAGAAACAAATCTAATCCGTTGTTCTAGAAAAACTGCTCGTTGAGATATGCATGGAGTTCGGGGCTCTTTCGGAGTCAATTCGGAAATTTTTCGGAATCATTTCGAGACTTGGTCGGGTCCAGTTTGAGACTAGTTCTGGACTAGTTCGGGACCATTCCGGTTACAGTTCGGGACTTTTTCATAACTTACGGGATACTTCGGGACCAGTTTGGGAGTAGTTCAGCCCCTTTTTAGGACGAGTTTCGGACACCGATGTTTACAACTCAAATTTTATAAGTATCTGGCTCTCACGCCGTTTTTTAAGCTATGTTCAAAATACTGCTTAATTTTTGTCTAGCCGCCCCTATTCGGCTTTTTATAACTTTCATGAGCATGAAATGGTATTTATTATAACTTTGGTCCGATGTTTGTAAGTACCAGAATATGAAGAGATAGACCCATTAAAATGTATACTTATATGATCAGAACGTCAAGCTGAGTGGATTTAGCCATGTCCGTCTGTTTGTATGCAATCTAGTCTCTCAGTTTTCGAGATATCCGTATCAAATTTGGTAGGTGGGTGTATTTTTATAATGTATTAATCATTTGTCGGAACCGGAAGAATCGGACCACAATAACATATAGCTCCCATACAACTGATTGTTCAGATATAAGATTTTTCGTTATAACTCCTCCATTTATGTAGCTAGGAACATGAAATTTCGCACTATTTATTTTTTACAGTAAAATGAACAAAGATCGGGTCACTATAATCTATTTATTGCCTTCATACAACTGATTGTTCAGATATGGGGTTTTACTGTAAAACTACTTTATTTGGATAGCTAAGACCGATAAATTTCGCAAGCTATTTTATAAATAATAAAACAGCGTCTACTGAGAAAATCGTGAAAATCTATAAGCTTTATCTCCTTTCGGGCTCCTTTTGAAAGAAAACACGTATTTTAACGAGTCACAATGTTGAAGATAAAGTTTGGACCTGGTTTTCCTCTTAATTTATGTCCTTCAAATCGGGAAAGCACACTGGTGTATAACTTGGTTGTAAATTTACAAATTGTGGTATATATCTGATAAATTGTATGAAAATTCACAAATCTACACCAAGTTATACACCAGTGTGCTATTTGAGAATATAGGTGCACTACCAAAATAATCCTTATTCTAGAACTTCTGTTTATTTTGGAACGCACCTTGTCTTTCGGCGAGGCGACCAACGCTTGCTCCAGTTTAATGAGAAAGTGCAACGTCTTACACGAAAATAATCGTCTAATGAAGTCTCTATAGAACTCTGATGTAGCTAGTACCAGATTTTTTTTTTCATTGCTGACTCAACGAGATTGATAGCTTCAGATCTTTTCCCAGAAATGCAGCTGCAAAACACCACTGAAAATAGGTGTTAAGGCAATGAGTAGTAAAAAACTTCAATTTTGTTCAGTTCAGACAGGGTTCGTTTGATTGGGGCATTAGTGCCATAAAGCATTCTAGTCTACATTCTGGGCTACAAAAATTTAGTATGCAATTTGTTTTTCTTTTTTATACATTCAAAAGTGATTTAGATTTTTTAAATTTGTTGCTCACGTCACACAGCTATGCTCAAAACTTGGTTGTTTTTATGCATCCTTACACTTTTAAACATTTACATACATACATATGTATATATTTTTCATATTTATATATGTATATGCAAATGTTACACATGTTTCTTCTACTGCGGTGCAAATAATTTGATTAACGATAATTTGTATTCGATTTAGAGGAGTAACGGTTGCACTAATTTGCTAAATTAGTTAGTTTGCTTCAGAGCCAAAGCAATTATTTCAACTAATTTATGGGAAATTAGTTTCATCTACAAGCATGCACATTTAGACACACACAAGCATGAGCACAAACAAATGCAAAAGTTTGCAACAAATACCAAAAAAAAA